GTCAAAAACGCGTCGAAATTCAAATTTTACAAAATTTCGACCCGCGATCGATCGTCCCAAATGGTTTACTTGAGCATTCAACAGGCAACAATGCAAACAATGCGAATTGCGGCGAACTAGACCTCACGAAAAATTGAGGTCAACACATGAAAGAAGGAAAGATCCCTTCACAAATTAATTATTTCTTCACATATTTATCTTATTTAAATCGATTGTTCAGTAGGTGGTTAGTTGCTTGGCATTTGTATCTGGTATTTTTGTGTTGTTCTTTTTTATCCTAGGATTAGTAGAATCATATTTTCATGGTAAATGTTTTTCTATTTAATTTATAGAATAACCAAATCTTATGCATAGATATGTTTGGTTTCATTGATCGCCATAAAATTTGCTATCTTATGATGGTGCGCCTGAGTCTTAAATTTGCTGCTTAAATTTCGATGTTATTTTGCTTCCAAAGCCCTTTTACACTTGCAGAGTTCCTTACCCTTGTAACTTGAAAATTTGCTTTTAGCTAATCAAAATTCTCTAATTCTAACCTAATTGTTCCCTCTTCTTATTTGGTGATAGAGGTGGGCAGTGGAACTCTGGTGGTCGGTGCCACAAGGAAATTGAGCCAATTTACAATGAAACTTTCTTAAAAAAATACCCCAAAAAAATGATTTCTTTAGAGGGGGTACTCCAAAAAATGAGAACACCAGTGCTCTACCTTAACGTTAGTAGACTCACAGACTATAGAAAGGATGGCCACCCCTCTATCTATAGAAAGAAGTACAACTCAGAAGAAGAGCTTATTGCAGCTGAGAAAATCCAGGATTGCAGCCATTGGTGCTTGCCTGGGGTTCCTGACACCTGGAATGAGCTTCTTTATGCTTCCTTATTGATGGAAGGCAAAGGATCATGGAGGCAATGACACTTTGCAGCAGGTATATCTTTTGTTTCGTTGTGCTTTTTGATATAAGATCAATGGAAGATATGATAAACAATTAAGCATCAATAAAATGATAGAGAGTTAATATCCCACAACGAGCATGACCACTATTTCATTTAGTTCATTCTCTTACAAAAGCTGGAAACTTCAGAAACAGCTTCACAATATGAAGCTGGTTATTGGTACCAGTAACCACACATTTTAAAACAAAACCTTGACAAGTAAGAGATGGAACAATTATTACTTTATTGTGAAAACTACAAAAAGATAGTTAAAGCAAGCCCCTACATGGGGCTTACCATCGCCGTTTTGTGACTTGCCGGTCTGCCATGCCTTTGGCTGGAAGCTTTTGCCATGTTTGGCAAGCCTAGCAGCTGCAGCATGAACAGAACACAACACAGGAGAGCCTGGAGGGGTGGGAAATACTCTCTAGATTTCTATCAACCCTCCAGATCCCTCCATAGCACTTTCCACCCCTTAAGATCCATGCTTGGATTCCTGCCAGAGATCTTCGGTTGGTATCAGTGTCATGATTGAAATGAATCCTGCGGTAGATTGCAGCAAGTGTTATGTGAGGAGATGTGTGTTATGTGCAAACTGCTGAAGTGTTGGGATTCAGAATGTTTGGCTATTATAAATAATAGGGAAATTTACATAAGTAGCACACAATTCTTATGTATTTAGATATCACTCCTAATCTTTCATTTTTACATTTAGCATTTTGGTGTCTTAAACCTATGCATGAAAAGTTGTATTTCACTTTTAGAAGTGGTTGTAGTTCTAGTTTTGATATGATATTAAAGATTTGAGTGTTATTTGTGTAAATATGATTGTTTAGGTGTGAGATATGTCAATACATAAGATTTGTATATGTATCTAAATGTCCCATAATAATAATAAGGTTGGGTAGTGGGGGCTGTGTAGCTTTTAGGTAAAACAAGGAGACACTCTTCATTAGTGCCCTAGCTTTTGGCTGATTCATCATCATTATTAACCTTACATTTAACTTTATGAATTCTTATTTTATATTCATTTCTGTTGAATGCTGCATGAGGTATGATAGATCTACTTAAAATGATTTCACTCACAAAATCCAAATTATTTTTGTTTTATGTTTTCATTCCCATTTCCTTAATACTAATTTTATCTTTTTATCGTACGCCTCAAAACAAAACTCTTTTGGTTGCTTGTAAATAGGGACTGTGAATGATATTCTATATTAGGCTCGTGTTCGAAATAACTCGTGAATCATCTATATTCATATTCGAGTCGATTTAAGCTTGATTGTTCAAATAAACTAATTTTAGACTCATTTAATTATTTCACCAGTTCGATTAAAAACAAAACTCATGTAATTCTTTATCGTCAAATGTACAACTTTTGATGCCGTGCATCACAATAATTTGCATTTTTCAGACTTTTATACTTCTAAACTTCAATAATAACTTTCATTTTACGGGTGTGGGACCAAAAGCCAGGCATGGGGGCTAAATTTTTCGAAAAATTATTGCATCAGGAGCCCTGATACAGTTTTGCATCATAACTCCAATTAGGGTCTGCCACGTGCACAGACAGACTCGCCCATTTATTAAATTAAATTTTTTTTATTAAAGCGGAGTCTGCCTGTACAAGTGATAGACCCTAATTGGAGTCTTGATGCAAAACTGCATCAGTATTGCATCAGGAGCCCTGATACAGTTTTGCATCATAACTCCAATTAGGGTCTGCCACGTGCATAGACAGACTCGCCCATTTATTAAATTAAATTTTTTTATTAAGGCAAAGTCTGCCTGTACAAGTGACAGACCCTAATTGGAGTCTTGATGCAAAATTGCATCAGGACTCCTGATGCAATAATTTTTATGATTTTTTTTCAGTAGCACGGGAAGAATTTTAAGGTATTTTGTACGTGCATGCCATACCACCCATTTCTTATTTATATATTTTTAAAATATCTATTGTAGAAGCTGTAGGTGGCCCAGACATAGATTTTTAGGAGAATTTACATGCATAATACCCAAATCCTTTATATTTACATTTGTAACACCTGAAACCTAAAATTAGGTTCGGGAGGGCTTTTAGAAACTTTTATATACATACCCGCCAAATTTCATGTATTTACACATATATAACACTTAAAATTATATTTTTTATAATTGTATCACCCAAATAATTTATTATAAAATTTTGCATTTTTTAAATAAAGTATAAAAATTAATATTAATAAATATTACTTTGTAATTATTTTGAGCTAGAATGAGCCGAACAAGAATGAACTAATCTTTCTTTATGTTATGTTCATTTATAAATAGAGTTAAAAAAATTGTTCACGCTTGGCTTGTGTGTTCAATGAACGAATCGAACAGGGGCTACTTAACAACAAACTATTTTGACAACTCTACTTATAAACATAGTTTTGAAATGATAATTCCATCTTCTTATGTTTTTCTTTTGAAATCTAAATCTTTACATTTGAGAGTGTTTTAATAGTTGTGAAAGTAAGAAGGGGCATTTACATACACACCATCCAATTCCTATGTATTTACCTATCTAACACCTGAACATTACTTTTTACACTTAAACCACGCAATTCTTTTATAACACATAAAAATGTTTCAAAAGTGAAATTCACATTTTTCATGCATAGACAAGGTGGAGTGCATATAAAAATTGAAGTTTAGATGTTGAAAATGTAAATACATAAGGAATTCTGTGGTATTTATGTAAATCTTCCAAGTAAAACAACAATGTTGATTTTACCCCTATGCCTGGACAAAAAATGTAACTAGCAAGTTTCTTTACTTTCCCAGATTTGTTCTCTCACATTTATTAATGAACTGGGCCAATGATCTTAGTCCATTGTTGATATCTCTCTTCTTCAATAGATGTTACTCCTATCATCTCTTCAATATAAATATTTCGCAACTTATTATTCCTAACATCAGTAACCTTGAATCAACGATTTTATTATTACCCCCACTAATTTTTTTTTAATTATTTTATTTCCAGTGATTGCAGTTCACAAATAGAGCTACACCACCCCCACCTCTACTGACATGATTGTGCGGTATTCCTTAACTCCTAACCTCCTATAATTGCATCTTCTTTTAATTACTATCCCCCCCGCTTTATTTTTTGGTTCCACTTCAGAGGCTTCAACTTTTAGATATGCTTGCTAGCTCCATTCATGGTTTGTTAATATTTTCTTTTCTGTATAGTGGTCTTCGCTTTAGTGCACTCTTATGTGGATTTCATGCTCGAAAGAACCTCATTCTATTGGGATTGTTTCCTTTTGTAAATGGAGTTCCTTTTTCATCACTTTCTACTGCATCAAAACAAAGCCACTATAGGTTTCGTGCTTATCTAGAACTTTTCATTTTCTATGGGCCCGCTTGGGATCATTTTTTTATTGTTGATTTTGTTTTTTATATCACATTGGGTGTTTTGATGTTTGATTGATAGTATCGTTTGTAATTATTTATGGGTAGATTTGCATGCATGCCACTCAATTCCTATGTATTTATAAATCTAACAGCTAAACTTAAATTTTCACATGTATGCCGGCTTACCTATGCAGGAGAATGTGTATTTCACCTTTTAGAAGTTAGAGTGATTTGTGATATGAAGTATTGGAGTGTTATAAATGCAAATAATAAAGTTGAGGTGTTAAATATGCAAATACATAGAAATGGAGTGGTATGTATGTTAACGCCCCTTATTAAATTTGGATTTTGCTGAGGTTTTGGGGCCTATCATGTCAGTATATTTTGAGATCATTTTTTTGATTTGTTTTGCATGTATGATCTCATATTGTGAGCATTTTTAACTGAAGTAGGCTATTTAAGACTCTATTTTTAACAAAAAATGTGTGGATTGTTATGCGGGGAGAAATCGAAGAGAGCAAAATTATTATATGCTCTTTTTTATTCTGTCTGTTTTTATCTCTATTATTGACCGTTCTATCTCTTTATTTTATGTCATTTGACGTCCATGCAAAAGCTACCTACTATTTTTTTCTGGCTACTTCATGATTCATCTTTAGGTATTATTATGTGCCAAAAAGTTTCTTGCGGTAGAGTGATAATACGTTGTTTTAATATTGCACGAAGATTCAACAAAGATAAAAAAAAGTAATAGGAGACACCATGATTTCTTAGGTGAAAAACTCATATAAAGGAAAAAATCACGGGGTCTAGCCTAGTTATAGTAATCTATTATAAGAATGTAAGTATATAGTTCTACTCGTCTCTTGATTGAAAAGATGAAATTACAATGTTGCTAATCACAAATATATAATAGTCATTCAGGTTTAATAGATGTAATTGAGCTAAAACAAATTTAGTTTTTGGTGATAATGGCAATAGCATACCGTAAAAGCGATAATTGATTGCTATAAAGACAGTGATTTGTTACAATGACTGGAGTTGGTGGTTGCGATAACATTAGTTGTTCACAGAAGTCATAGTTAAAAGACATAACAGTAGTAGTTGATTACAAATGTCATAGTTGGTGTCTGTAATAGTGTCAGTTGGCCGCATAAGACGTAATTGGAGCTGGAGAAGTAGTTGACCACATGGATTATAGTTGGTGACATAGGTGTAGTCAGGGGCAGATCATAGATGTTGACTCCAACAATATTAGTTGGCCACGAAAGCCATAATTGGTGATTACAATAATATCAGTTAGTCATGAATGTCATAGTTGGAAGATGCTTCCGCAATTAGTTGCACAGACTGTGGTTGGTTGTTGTAGTAACAGTTAACCACATAAGTCGTGGTTGATAGCTGCAGTATCAATTATCTACATAGTTCATACTTGACAACATACACTATAGTTGGAAGCTGCATTAGCATCAGTTAACCATAAAGGCCGTAGTGAAAAAAAACTACAGTAGTAATTTGTCAGTTGGTGGCTAATCCCTCCTCTCAGGTTTGTTATTTTATGCTAGAGACACCACTTATTTGTATACAACGTATAAAAAATTTGAGGTGGCTGAAGAAAGTCGTATTCCAAATACGGCGATTGTAAGCAATTGTCGTCGAGAGTTATCGTAGGATCTTAAATACGACGTTATTCGTTACACAGTATTTGGGATACTTCGTAAGCAAATAAAGTTCGCCAACAACGACAAGCAAGGGGCGGCCAACAATGCTCGATGGCAGCCGACAGACAGTTCGATAGTTATTGGCGGCTACAAATGCCAAAAGTTATCGCCGGGTCTTCAACCCAAAAAAACATTGGAATTCGACTCATTTTCATTCTCCCTCACGTGGAGAGGAGGTCTATTTATAGCCTCTAGGGGAGGGCTTTTTTGGTCATTCAACAAATAACTTCTATAATCACTCTATCGAATGACCCAAGTTGAGACTCCTTGATCATATGATGTTTTTATTGATTTGAGGACCTTCATAACATCAACATCAAATAATATTTGGCTCGTTGCATTTCTCTCGTCGAGACGTTTGATTTGTCTCTAAATATATTAAATTTGGAGTTTATTTAACCTTCCACTTGAGTACTCAAAGCCTCCATATATGATTTAGTGGCTTGATCCGGGCTTGATTGATCTTGAATTGGACAAATTCTGGTATCATTGGATTCATCTTATCGAAACAATTAGTTTGACTATAAACACACTCAAATCAGAGCTATGGATGATTTTTATTTTGAATTTGAATATTTTTTTAAAAAAATTGTCTTAAGCTTCATGTCAAATAATAAAATTTGTTGTTGTCACATCAGGTATAATTGATAGGTTTTGTTAGGATTTGAGTAAAGGAAAGTAAATCATACATAAGGGCCTGTTTGGGACTTTTTTTTTAAAGAAAATTTATTTATTTAGTATTTTTTCTAAAAAAAACAATCACTTTAAAAAATAAATTAAGTTATTTTTAAAATGCTAAAAATTAAGTTTTAAAATTTGAGTATTTTAAAATAATTATCACAATTAATCATCATCAACATCATCATTGGCTAATGCCATCATCATTGCCTTGCTGCTGCTCTTGCTTGGCAAGACTTGCTATGCAAAGATTTTGGCCACCAGTGCATAATCAAATTATGTGATATTTAATAAAAAAAATAAGATTATGTATTTCTATGTAAAAAATGTGGTTTATTTCATGGCAAAACATGTATAAAATAAATAAAGATAAATGATTGGAAAAAAAATACAATAAAAGTCATTTCAAATGGCTTTTATCTGATTTATGTGCTGACAAGGAATAAAATGGCATTTATTTGAGATTTTTAACTCCAATTTTAATTTCTTTTAATTAAAATTATTAATTTCATAATATTTTTTTAATTAAGAGTTTGTTTGAATATTTGAGTGTTATATAATTAAGAAAAAGAAATATAATAAACATTTTTTTATTTATTTTACATTTACATTATCGTTTTAAATAAAAATAAGTGTGGCGGTGACATCGTCCAAAATGCATAGGTACGACTGATGATATTTTAGTAGTATTGATGACATTTTGTGCTATAATATCAAAAATACTATCAGAAATCATCAAATTAAGATATATCTGTGCCTATCTCATCCGGGCGTAATAATTTTTCTAAGAGACGACAAAATTTTCAGAAAGGGAAAAAAATAATAATGCAATTATTTTCTTTTTTCATTTTGAATTAAAATAAAAAGAAATAGAATAAAATTATAGGTTGCTTAAATGCAATCATCATATTCTGCAATTGTTAATGACTACTTCATAGTTGATGTTATTAAATTATATGCACCAAAACTGTCAACATGAGTCTTAGAGCGATCAAACGGTCAAGGAAGATGACCGAACAATCGAAGCGTCTGATTGAATGAGCTTGATCTGAGCTGGCCATTCAATGATCGACCGCTCGATCAAGTCAACTGACATGAAATATCGGTGGGTCCAATCGGCGAACCATGCTTACGGTCCTAACTACCTAAACTCCTTGTAAGGACTTCTGGTTGCAACAAGTCGGGAGAAAAGTTCCTTTATTCATCCTTTGGGCCCCTATTTATGGGTATTTATTTGTACAATTATAGAAAGGAGATAATGGTTATGAAAATCGCCTTTAATGCAGTAATTTAATATTAAAATTAAGCTAAATTTTAGATATAATACAACGACTATTAATTGGTCGACATGTTTGAGTTCGGTCGACTAGTAGCCGCTTGATGATTTCTCCTGTCGAGGTAAAGCCGATCGGCCAACTGGTTGCGAGTGGACGTCCTTGCAAGGAGTTTAGGTAGTTGGGACCGTAAGTGTGGTCTGCCGATTGGATCCGCTGACATTGCATATTAGCCGACTTGATTGAGTAGCCGGTCGTCGGATGGCTTGTTCAGATCACACTTAATTGGTCGACGTGTTAACAAGCACAATTTAGATATAATACAATGACTATTAATTGGTTGACGTGTTTGGGTTCAATCGCTCGGTCGCCGCGTAACGATTGCTCTTGCAGATGTAAAGCTAGTTTGTCAACTGATTGCGACCGGACTTCCTTGCAAGAAGTTTAGGTAGTTGTGACTGTAAGCTTGGTTTGCTGATTGGATCCACCGACAATGCATGTTAGCCGACTTGATCGAGCGGTCGGTCGCCAGATACCTGCTTCAGATCATGCTCCTTTAGTTAGACATTTAGATTGTTTGGTTTTCATCCTTGACTGTATGATCACTCGACAAATTTTTGAATAATTAGATACACAAACCAACCGAAACACTATTTACAAATTAACCACTCAGGTGATTTTTTTGAACTAGATGTATTTGCGCGTGCCACGATCAAACTATTGAGCGTTTGATAAAAGTGAAAAATATGGGTTGGGGTTCTACCATGAATTTTGATATTTGAGCGAGTATTTGAAAAATGAATGAAACATAGTGGTTGATTTGTAAATAGTAAATTTTAGGTGAATTTTTATTGTTCAGTTAATTTTGTTCCAATTACTTTTTTTATAATATTCTTGCCTCTAAAAAATCTTTTTTAATAGAGAAAATTGTCATAAAATCATATATTTATAATATACATTTCCAATTTTTATTTTTTTTAATCGATTTTTAGTAGTTTTAATTTGGATAAAATTTTAACTTATTAAAAATAAATTTAGTATATTCAAATAAATTATCTGATTTCTTTATGTTTGACTTTGTCAAATTGTAGAGTACTTTTGATTCTATTTTAGACATTTATTTTTTTTTTCATTTTTTTATTAGCATTATGAGTGGAAAAACAAAAGCTTTTGATATGGGATCAATCTTTTTTAAGAAATTTATACATCTTTGTATAACGAATTTTCTAGAAAGATATAGTGTCCATTTTGCGAATTATTTTCACCAATATGTTTTAGATATAGTTTTCTATTTAATTGAACATTTTTTCATAAATTTTTGAGTCCTATATTTAAAGATATAATTTTTTTTATAAATATTGCAATTGAATATAAAAAAAAAATTGATAGTAATTATATTTATGTCCTTCATTATTGTTTATATATATATATATATATCTATCTGTGCGCGCGCGCCGCGTGC